TGAGGCCGGCTTGTAATTAACAGTTAAATGCTTGTTACTTCCTTTGTAGTCTCTACACCCACAGAATCTGGGGACCTCAGAACTGCTCCTACAGCATTTAATTGTGTGTTTCATAATACTACACTTCCAGGTAAATACAGAACAAGATCCTCTTTACGCAACAGAAAAAAAAAATAAAAAATAAAAAATCAGAAAGCCCATTGCAGATTAAAAATAAAGCAACAATAATGCATAAAGGGTAGTTTATGTTGTTGTCAACAAACTATCATCCATGATTTCCAATGAGAAACACAGACGGCACAATATGGAGCTAAAAGAGGGACCTCTTGGTCAGCTGCATGTAATTGCAAACTAGTTGGACTCCTGACAGAAGACCAGCCAAAAGACTGATGGACAAAAATAAAGTAAGATACCCAAGTGTTGAGCAAGGCCCTGACCCCTCAGCCGCTCCATGGACCAGCTTTCTCAATCGAATGTCGCTTTGGATAAAAGTCACTGCTAAATAAATAAATGCAAATGGACCCTTCGGTTGGCCAAGTTCTTGCACATCGCCCACACACCATCTCAGACATCGCCTCTGCTTATTTTTTTCAGCAAAATTGGAGAAGAGTCTTTGTCAATCCATCCATGTCCCATGCAGGGCCGTGTAGGTCTGGAGCCTATCCTGGAAGCTACAGGTGCAAAGTAAGGAATCACCCAGGACAAGGTGCCAACCCATTGCAAGGCAGACTCTTCATTCACGCACGCACACACACACGCACACGTCTTTATTTATGTATAAACTGCTCTATGTCTCCCAGACCTGAAGGGTACCTTCTCCCAACTTCTCCCAATCCAGTGGATTGTCTTGCTCAGTATTTTTTGAAGTATATTTAGGGTCATTGTCATAATTACTTAGTAATTTCACATCTTTTTTTATATAATTATAAATGTCATCTAAATTATGCCCCTGTGTGTATGAAGTTACTACTGTAAGGACTGGGAACACTGTGTTTAGGGCCCATTATTAAAACCACGAAATTAACAGCACTAAAAATTTTAAGTTACTGTGAGAAATGTGAGATTCCACGGACGCGAGCAGAGCTGATTGTTGAAACAAAGATGCGGCCTATGAGATTGATTTGGGTCACATAAAATCATTTTTCAGTATTGTCTTTGGCTTACGTGTCTTCTGCAAGTTTCTGATCTTTTGGTAAGCTGCAACATTATTCCCGTTTAATTGTTCATGGCCAACTGGCGAAACGGCAAATGTCGAATGTGAAGGGGGTGAAGCATTTGTAGAATGTGATAATAGTTGTCCAGGAAATATTAGGATTTCTTGTGCAATGAGCTAAGAATTTGTGAATTCCTTCATTTTTTGATGTATTCCAATAGATATGCAAAGAATGTACGCATGGAAACCAAAAGACTTTAGTTCAACAGTTTTGTGGAAGAAATGGTAAATCATCTGGAAAAAAAGTATGAGATCAGAACTATATTAGCCACTATAAGGTGCATAGGAATCGTTTGTTTTCATATACACCACATTGTTCACCATAAAAGACAGGAAGGATTCACCAGTCACTCTTGACTGTTAGGCTTAAGGGCCTTACTTCAAGGGTCCAACAAAAATATGACTATTCTGTTGGCCACAAAATTCAAACCTACAATCATCTGGACTAAGGCACAGATCCCAGCTCCCTCAGCAAAATACCACCAAAAATGACATGGTGTTTAAGCTACTAGGTTTTTGCCAGTACTGCTGTAACCCTGAGAAATGTACTTAGCCCAAATCACTTAATACCCAGCTTGAAACAGATCCAACCTTAAACCCTTTGGATACAGATATCTGCTATTTATAGAAAACAGAAGCAAGTATGTAAGTGCTTCATATACAGTAACCAGTCAAGATGCCCTGATTTACTTAAAGGCTCCCCCTATAGGACAGTAATGCAGATTGTGCTGCATCCACATATAAGCCTTTTATAAGCCAGACGTTTTTCAAAAAAATGACGGTAGCTAAGAATGACCTATAGTCTGATTCACAGCAATACAGCTCTGGAAAAAAATTTAAAATATGTAAAATATACATGTTTTTTGCAAACTGCAGCCTGGTTCTTCTCCCTGCTTCTCAGTGATGAAGGGCTTCTTGCTCGCTTTATGGGTCTTCAGTCCTGCTTCCAGGAGCCTAGCAGTGCACTGCACACCATTTAATGTTTCCCTTTTCTTTTGAAGGTGACTTGGTGTCATCCTCCGATTCACGAGGCACTGCTGGATAAGTTGACCACCGTCTCTGGCATTAGAGTCTCGCTTCTGCCCACTACCTGGCTGAGTTTTTCTAGATTCAGAATTCTGAGATTAAAGTCATAATTCTGAGAAAAAAAGTCCGAATTCAAATAATATTTTAATGGTGGCCTAATCCTCTTCCGTAATTTGGTAACATACCTTCATAATGCCTTTATAATGCACTCATAGAACATTCAGTGGATCTTCGTAATGCATTCATATAATATTCATAAGCAGCATGTAAGTTTACCTTACAATGTTTGTTATTAATGTATATTAAAGCTGTCAAGGTATGTTATGGTATTAAGGTATACTTACATGCTGCTTAAAAATGTTCAATGAATGCTTTATATATGCATTATGAAGGTGCACTGAATGTTCTATGAATGCATTATGAAGGTGCACTGAATGTTCTATGAATGCATTATGAAGGTGCACTGAATGTTCTATGAATGCATAATGAAATTGCAGTTAATGTAAAGTGTTATCTATTATTTTCTTAAAAGTGAAACCCTAGTGTTCAACATGCACTAACGCAAACTGAGGTGATCTTTGATTTTAAGGTGAGCTGGCATAATTAGAGAGACAGTAGATCTGACCACCTCTACAGCTAAGAAACTGGCAAGAATTGGCTAGAGAAAACACTGACGCAATCGAATGTAAACTGGAATTTCATTCAGCTTTACTCAGTTGCTGAGTGCAGCAGCCATTCTGAGAAGAGGAAAAAAAGTATAAAACTTGTAAAAACACTCAAAAAGAGCTTAACTGTCTTGATTGGGTCCCAACAATCCAGGGTTGCTTGTCAGTCAGCTTTCTACCAAATAAACCAAAGAATTCTTTGAAATACACAATTTCTATATTCCACAAATAGAATTATTCTGCTGCCAAAATAGGCTAGGATTTCCGTGTATTGTGATATCCACTTCAGCAACTCAGTCATAAGCAAAAGCCTGGAATTTTATGGTGGAATTTGCCGATTCCCTTGGAAAGACATGGATTCCAGCATTTTATGTAAGTACGGGGTGTCTGTGGTCCGTCAAACACATACATGATTCAAAAAGATCACAGACTTTAACCAACCCTTGCAATGGTGTTTGAGTCAAGTCAATTAAAATGGTGTTTTAGTGGTTTAAAGTAGACCAACAGATTAACTAGAAAGGAAACAGAAGAGAAGGAAGAGAAATAAGGGGAAACAGAAGAGAAATAAAATGGGAATATAAACAACAAAGCTGGTTACATTAAACCAGCTTAATCATTGTCAGCCCAGAAAGATTCACAGCCCTCATAGGCCACAAGGGACAGCCACCCATAGCCTATGACCATCAATTTGTTTATATAGACCCAGATGGGCCCTGCTCTGCTAGGGAGGGGCTGTGAGCATTTCTCTCTGTCTCACACACACACACACACACACACACACACACACACAACGTCTCATCAAAGCCATCCAGCCCTGAAAAGAAGCAAGATGCAGGTCGCCAGACCCTTTAAAGTCAAAATATTTAAAATGGGTGATTTATTAAACGCCTCTCATAACCAACACATCCGTAAATCATTATATTCCTGAAGATTACTGCTACCATTTAGCAAAGAAAGGCTCACATTAGAAGGAAGGTATACTACAAATAAGAATACAATGAAGCATGAATTTACCTTCTAACCATCTAGAGAAATTTAAAAGACACCACACATGTCTGTATGTCTGTTTACAGCGCAACTTCAAAACTGAGCGACTAGAGCTCCCAGGCAGGAGAGACGTCCGCAGCCCACAGTGGAAGATGCCAACAGCTTCATATCTGTGTGAGAACCTCTCTTTTTTGAAAAACTTATAATGGCTCAAATAGCTTTTCTTTATCTTTTTTTTTTTTTTTTTTACTTCATACATTTCATTATATTTCCCAGAAATATTATTATTTCCCATCCTTTCTTGAATAATAGAAGAGGAGGAAACGAAAGCAGATCTTCCCAAAAGTTGCCGTATTTTTGGTTACTTAGCTGTTCTCGACACGTTTCTGTGTTTGAAGCATGACCTTTTCGGTACGACGCAAAAAACGGAGCCACCCACTGTGGGTTCTGGTCCTGGTCACATTACCACAATCAGAGTCACTGTGGCAGATAGAGACCAGCAGAGGCACAGCGGCTTGTGTGAGACGCGCCCTCGACAGACACCGGGGAGGCTGACTGTCAGCTGGCCAGGAACAGCAATTAGCCTAAAATAATTAGCCTGTGATTCATATTTTAGTGCTTTAAGAGTAAATAAAATCTGTGAATTCTGGCATTTAAGGTACTTTTATTTGTTATGCACATTTTATGTTATGTTAAAGACTACCCTGTCACTGTTAAAAATAAAACGTGTAACTGAACAATAATCAACAAACTAAAACTAATTCTGAATGTATTACCTAAAAGAAAATATTTCATGGAAATCCTCATTTTATTTGTTAGGAAAATAAACATGAATCTGGCGATGGTAAACATGAAGGATTTCTGAAATTTTGGTGAAAAATTTCCATCCATCCAGCTGCCTAATACAGGGTCACAGGGTACTGTATATCCACTTCGTATAAATAACACATTTATTAGGACTATTTATACATTACAGAATAAACCCTAATAAACCCATAAACAGCTGGAAGAGATACAGAAACCTACTTTTTAAAGTAAAAAGTCAAAACACCTCCAAATGATGGATGCACATAGAGGTGGCGGGGGCCGTCGGTCAGCGGGGGCAGTACCTTCTGACGCCGTGAGCGGGGGGGCAGCTGCCAAAGAGCCCGTCTCTAACAGCAGGCAGGCCTGGCTCAGGAGCAGCAGCAGGTGTCTGGCCGCCATCATCTCAGGCCCCTGAAACAGACAGACAGGCGGGTAATTAGCTGGGGGGGGGGTGACAGACCGGCTCGGACGCGGCCGTGATTGAGCAGAAAACACTGATACAGATGGAAGTATTTTGTTGATCTCTGCGGGGAAACTGTGTGGGTTTCATGGACTCACATGTATATTCAGGTGAGAGCAGGTTTTGGGGGTCATAGAGCAGGTTTTGGGGGTCATAGAGCAGGCTCAGCCAGCAATCTCTCCCCCCCCTTCCCCAAGAGCAGCTCGGGCTAAAGGCCTTAGGGCCTGATTCAAGGACTCACAACCTTCTGGTCACGTGATCGCAAAGCTGCAAAGCTACACACTTGCCGTGATATTCCCCAAGTTCAGCTCACAAACCGCCAATCAGGCAGACTTTTAAGCAACTACTGAATAATTTCACTATTTCTTAAGCAAAGAAAAAATAGCTCCCTCTATATAACGGCATTAAAGATTAGCACCACACAGGTATAAACCTCGATCGACCCTCGGCTGTTCATATGCTAAAACTCGTTACGCTTTCCCAATAAAGATACACTGGTCACACCATCCACCTCAATATAAACTTTAAGTAAAACTTTTACAAACTGCCACCCTCCCCATGGAAGAAGATAAAAGGCTTAGGTCTGAGGCCTTCCTCACCGGACAGTCCCGCAAGTCAGAGCTGCTCAGAGTAAGACGAGGATCAGCGGAGTGCATTTACGGGCCCCGTGTAGCGGCAGCTTCGCTGCGACGCCGCGGATGTGGGTCGGCAAGGTCGGCGGCAGTGAGGATTACACTCGGCATGCCTGCCTGCTAAATTTAAACCGATTGCTGGGCGTTAAATTCTGTGCGACTCGTGGCTGCGAATCGCCTCAGCGGGGACTCACGTTCTCCCAGCAGTCAACACGTCATGCATTAGCACCAAATAAACCGGATAAGGCCTACAAGCCTCATAAAGGAGGGACCAAATGCTTCACAGCATTTGCCAGAATTTGGTACAGAAATCCAGTGTGGGTGTGCTGTGGCGACTGCCGCTGTATCAAGACCTCCCATCATTATCCCACTGGATGCTACAAACTGCAAAATTCTCACTTTCGGTTGTGTGTGAGAGACCACCCCCCCCCCCACTCCCAAATGTTAGGAAACACCTGGCAAGCCCAGAGCCATGATGGGGGCCATCGGCCGTGTGCAGCGCACAGGGAGAAATGAAAAGCAGATCAGTGTGACGGTCCTTTCCTTCAATTCATGTTCTCGTGTGTTCGGACAAAAACCACAGCCAAGTAAACACTGTAAAGGGACAACTGTCTTTATTTAAACATTCCTTTGGTTGTGCAATCCCTGACCCGACCCTGCTTGAGCCCCCCCCTTACTGAGAACCACAGACATTTGGCCCACAGAGCTTTTTCTCAGCACAGAGAGCAAAGAAGTCGCGCAGAGCACGTTTCAACCTGCTCGTTAACATAGAAAAAGAGTCAACTGCGCATTATTGACAGAATATCCTGAACTCTGGTCATTACAGGATGGACTGACATCTTATCTCCACTATTAACAAAGTGTTTCCTGAACAGGGTGAAAAGTCAGTTTCCCATCTGTTGCTTTTATCTGTGTGCACGCCAGGTCTTAGAGATACATCAAGGTGGACCACAGGCCTCTACCATAAGCTTTATAAACTTAGTCACCTGAGAAAAAGCCCAAAAATTAATTCAATTTATTTTTATATAGCGCCTTTCACAACACAGTTGTTCCTAAAGAAGGGGGAGAAAAGCTGTTCAATACATTTCAGCTTCTCTCCCTCCAAGTGCATGGATTCGCGATGGAAGCCTTCTGTACCACTGCAAATGCTGACCACCTTTGATAAGGAACATCAACCATTTGGAGAAAACTGATCCCCTCTCCAACTGTCTGCAATGAAAAAAATGTCTGCACGTTGCTCGTGTCTGAAGGGTTTAGGGTTGTCCCCTTGAAATGCCAAGCTTTTTACTTTTAATGGATGATTGTATTGGTCTGGGTAAAAGCATTAGCAAAGTTCTCTTTCATTTTGCTGCTTCTGCTCCTAGCTTCTCCATATATCAGCATCCAGCCGGAAGAGCAGCCACCCAGAACAGAACCTGCAGGTGCTCAATTAGTTGGGCAGTCTGGCCTGCAGCTGTAAACTACACACTCCATACCAGATCTTCAGTTCATAATACTTCAGCATGACAACCCTGCAACATAAACCATTTCAGCATTAAGATCCTTAATTGGAAAGCAGTTATAGCCACTGGCAAAGTTCCTGAAACCTGTTTTCACAGAATATGCCAGTACATTCCCTTAAATGTTTATCCACATTATATATTTACACCAAAAGTGGTCTAAACAAATAATACTTACATGCTGCCCTGTTTCAATTTTCCAACTTTGGTAGCTACTGTGATCTTCAATCTTTGTCTTCGTTCAAGATGGAATCATATTCTGGCTTAATGATTCTACACTATGGCCAAAATTGTGGAAACAATTAGTGATTGCAAAACTTTATTCAACTGCTGCCCCAGTTACTTATTTAATTGTCCAATGTATTTGTAACATTCTTTGATTGTTTATAGACATTACCGGCAATATTCGTGTAGTAAATTTTTAAAGCGTAAAGCCAAAAATGCTTGGCCTTTCCACAATTTTGCCCATTAGTGCATTTGCTCAAGCCTGTGAATTTGGAACCATTGCTTTCACTGCCCTGGTGACACAACATTCCGTAGCCACAGCAAATTAGCCATAAGAACAGTATACATGTTGGCTATCTTCTCATTTCCATGGTTGGGTCTGGGGAATATTTGGACGGGCAAATACTCCTTTAGAAAACACTACTCAAGGAATGTGTTGGTTTGTCTGGATGAAATCAGGACCTGGGAGTGGGGACGGGATGGCCTGGCTGGTAAAAGGAACCCATCTTGTCGTTGCCGTTATCAGTGTTTGGTGACCATGCTAGGTGGCTGCTTCCATACTGTGTGTGTCTGGATGACAGAAGAGGGGATGAGGATTGAAATTATCCAGAAAAATATCGGCACCGGTTCTTAAATCGGTAAGCAATGCTCAGTGAGAAGGCAATCTAAACTTCTGCTGTTATTGTACATCCATAGGCAGATATATTCTGAAGTACTATCCTGAAACACTTTGGTCACAAGTTTAGCTCTTCAACAGCTACGCAAACTGTTGCTCATAAGAACATAAGAACATAAGAACATAAGAAATTTACAAACGAGAGGAGGCCATTCGGCCCATCAAGCTCGTTTGGGGAGAACTTAGCTAATATCTCAGAGTTGTTAAAATCTTATCTAGCTCTGATTTAAAGGAACCCATGGTTTTAGCTTCCACTACAATAGCAGGAAGACTATTCCATACTCTGACTACACGCTGTGTAAAGAAGTGCTTCCTCAAATTTGTTTTAAAATGTTCTCCCGCTAATTTCCACTTATGGCCACGAGTTCTAGTATTTAGACTAATATTGAAATAGTCATTTGGCTGAACAGCATCCAGACCCGTTAGAATCTTATAGACCTGAATCATATCCCCCCTTAGTCTCCTTTGCTCAAGGCTGAACAGATTCAGTTCCGCTAACCTCTCCTCGTAAGACATTCCTCTAAGACCAGGAATCATTCTCGTAGCTCTTCGTTGCACCTTTTCTAAGGCAGCAATGTCCTTCTTGAGGTATGGTGACCAAACCTGCACACAGTATTCTAGGTGGGGTCTTACCAAGGAATTATATAAGTGTAACATCACCTCCCTTGACTTAAACTCCACACATCTAGAGATATAACCCAACATTCTGTTCGCCTTTTTTATTGCTTCCCCACATTGGCGAGAGTGGGACATGGAAGCATCAACATACATACCGAGATCTTTCTCGTAATCAGCTACCTTTATTTCAGTGGAACCCATAAAATATCTGTACTGGTATTAGTCTCAAAAATCAGTAGGGAAAATCCCAATTGTTTTGAAATTAATATTATGAGAAAAGCTCACTAATGTTTGGGGGTGGGGTCTGGTTCATCCGAGGCAATTAATCGGGTGACTACATGGGGCGACAGAATTTTGTCAGCCAGTCATTCCTTGTTTTGCCTGGTTACATATGAAAGTGGGTTCCTGTTCACCACTGGTTGGCCTCGACCTGCTCTTGGTGTGAACTTCACCCTCCCCCAAGCTCAGAGAAAGGAAAGGTCTATAATAAGGATTAGGTCTCCGTTTCCAATCCCTGTGCCATGTGGCCCTCGAGTTGAGCCAGCTGTCATACATAAGCAATATGCAAAAATAGTTTTGAAAAATGATAATCAATGCTATCTTAATCAATGTGACAGGTAACTTCCCCCCCCCCCCCAAAAAAAAAGAGTCATCTACTAGTAATGCAAGTAACAACAATGTAAGTAATGACTTACGGCTATAGCCGCCGTGAACTAGACTTCAGAATCAACTGTCAAGGGAAGCTAACAGTTGGCAAGAAGCAGGTCTAGGTCTCTGAAGCCCGATCCAGGCTAATGGTTAACAGATTCCGTCCACATGGAAGGAAAAGGGGGCGCTGGACGACACACCAGACATATTGACTTATCAAGCCCTCCGGGGGTGGAGTGGGACCTCCCTCAAAGCTTATTGGCTGACAGGGGCCAGGCTTCCTAGGGTCAGGCTAGGTCCTGAAGACCACTCTGCATCTGGCAACGGGGATTGGAAGATACCGAAATTACACAGCCTTTTAACCTCAAATATTTGTCGTCTAGTGCTGATAAAAATTTTGGACAAAAAAAAAAAAAAACCTTTGACTGACTATGCGTGTGTACAGGGCAGCGCGAGCTTTATCCTTCAAAAGAATATTCCATAATCAAGCAACCAAATCAAACTGTACCATGCGTCTGTTGGATCTGCTGTCTGATATTAGTCACATATAATTTTATGAAACCAGTACATACTTTTCTTAGCATATAAAATTTACAAAACCGGTTTATGATGTATTTGTAATGTGCTTATAGCTAGCTACTGTATAATATATC